CTTCCCCCCCCTTTTTTTTTCTACTGGATTGTTTTTATAGGACCTTGTCACTCTCTTGTAAGCTTTAACCACTGCCAAAGTTCTGAGCGGCAATGAATCGGGAATACACAAAGTCCAGAATTTATTCTTCCTTTGGTCTTGTATAATGTTTTGTGGCTTGTGTAAGGTAAGCTGAAACAAATCTTTCTTGCTGTTTTCAGTTGAAGGTATTATTTGTTTGGATGCTTTTGATTTCCAAGAGAAGCTAGGAGCTGCCTTTAAAAAGGAAGGGGGAAAAAGAGAAGATAAGAGAGCTATGTGCCTTACTCAAACTAATCTTTATGTTTCCTCTGTTTTGCCTGCTGTGTTTCGGAGTCACTTAACAAAAATGAAACAAAAGTAGGTTAACAGTTGTCTTGCTCTAACATGGATCAATGCTACTTGTGAAGCTTTGTGTTACTGTTTCACTCATTTGCTCAAAACAGTGAAAGGTGAACCTTTGCAAAAAATAAAATAAAATTGCAACGATATGCATTATCTTGTACATCAGGAAAAGTAGGTTGGGTATAATAAATGATTTACAGAGCATCTGGAATCCATTTTACATACTGGAAAGGATTAATTCTACAAACATACCTACACTCAACTGTATATTAATCTCCCCAATATCTGCTTAGTATTTTTTCTTGCATTAGGACTAGATAGCATTAAGAGTAAATATTAAAAATATGCAGAGCAGTATATAATTAAACTTTAATTTATTATGAAAAAGTGCAATATCAAAAATCCCTCTCTCTCTGAAGTTACTGATCCATAATCCTGCTAAAATCATACATGTTGTGTGTTTTAGTGTTTAAAATACTTGCTGAAATTCAGTTTCATAGAACATATAGAGATTGTCACTTTTGCATATACATTTGAGCAGTGCTGTCTGACTCAATCTATTAAAAGCTACTTAAATAATTTTGTATTATGTCACTTTTTTTAAAAAAAAAAGTAGTTGTAATAATGTACAGGCTGCGGTTACTCTTCAGAATCTCTGTACTTTTTCTGGGGTAGTCAATCGGGTAGAATTGTCTCCATCTTACTTTGTAAATTGGACATTGGCCACGGCTAGAAACAAGATGACATACACCTATGGCCGCATTCAGCACAGGCATATCTTGTTTTATTAAATCTGACATCTGTGTCTGCTTTGTCAAACATTAATTATATGGAGACAAACATATAATTCTAAAGCACCTGCTGGTTCATCGTTTTCATGTTTAAGATCTCAAATATGAGTCTGATTGGCATTGCTTCCAGTTCACTGAAAAATGACTTAATCTGTTCACACTGCACATGTGCAACCGGGCAGTCCCCTGTCTTCCGCCCAAGAAATTATCCTTAGATTACCTCTCTGTAAACCTCACTGGTGCTGTTTCCAGAGCTTGAAAAAGCTACCTTTTTGGACTATAACTAGAGGAAGTTCCCAGCCCGAATGGACAGCAGCCATGCTGGCTTGCGGATTCCAGGAACTGTAGATTCTAGGAGCTTCAGAAAAAAAGGGACTTTTCCAAATCTTCGTTGTTTAATTGTAAAGAGGCAGATTTTCATCTAACCCAATTCCAAAAGAATTTTTTATAATGGAGGCATGTATGTGAAAGCACTGTATTGCAATAAGTCCTCCATGGCTGCATCCGCATTGCAGAAATAATGGACACTGCTTTAACTGCCATGGCTCAATGCTGTGGAATTCCTTGAAAAGTTGTTTGTTGTGGTACCAGAACTTTCTCTGACAGAGAAGGCTAAATATCTCACACAACTACAATTTCAAGAATTCCATAACATTGAACCATGGCAGTTAAAGTGATGTCAAATTGGATTATTTCTGCAGTATGGATGCCCATGTAACTTGCCCAGGAACCATTTCTCCATGGAATCTAAAAAATAATCTAAATCAATCTTGAAGTATAGGTTTTGAACAGGGTGTTCTGATAAAACGTCCCTGTGGGTGTATCTGGAGCAATCATTGCCAAAAGCATCCTACAAAAACATAATGTAGAACTGTTTGCAGATTGTGTCTGTCAGCTTTGAAATGTTACATGGGAAATGACTGTCTGTGGATTATAGAGACTTTATGGTGTTCAGTGGATGTCATAAATCATGGTTTTATAAGAAATAAATCTCAGTAGAGAAAATACTTAGGAAACCTGTGGATCTCTGATGACAACTAATTTGAGTGCATAGGTATGGTTTTGTATGTTGCATGTGTCTACAGTGAATATCAATTTTCCCTTTTTATTACAATTAGTTATACAGCATCATCAGTGTACATAGCACATTATAGAGCAAGATATTTTTTTTAAAAAATTGTAGTTTTCTAACCTGAATAGATTTGATTCAAGGGGTTGGCATTAGAAAAAGTAGTGCAAGGAAGCAGGGAAGCTATATTAAGAGATGTGTAACAGCATTTGGTGATGAAGCCACCTCAAAAGCTTATATATAAAGGCACTTCAAAATGGTGAGTGCTGTACAATGATTGATTTTAAAAGAATAAATCTTACCCCAAGGCTTTCAATTGAAGATTAAGGGACTCAAGTCTAGAAGCTTATCGCATTCTTAAATAATACAGCTTACCTGATCCGGTTTAAAATTTAAAGCAGGTGGCAGCCTGATATTATCAGATGGATAGTCACTGACCCACTACCTGGGTCCATCCCCGCTCCCAGGGCCGCTCAGTATGCCTCTTTTTGAAGCTGGGAGTTTTCTGGCTTAAGAAAATGGCTGCTGGAGTGGCCATGGGAGCGGAGATGAACCCAGGATGGACCTGGGTAGCAATTTTGGTGGCTAAATCCTTGTGATAACGTTAGGATGCCGGCTGCTTTAAATTTTAAACCGGGTCAGTTAAGCCGTATTATTTAAGAATGCGATAAGCTTCCTACTTAGTATATCCCATCAAAATGAATCTGAGGTGGTATCAGCATGGCCCAGGATACTCAGGGAGCAGCCTGGAGTATTCTGGTCCCAAAGCGGCCCCAACATTCCCTTATTAGCTGGCGCTCCCATTGCAATGCCTGGTGGCTGTTCATATGCATTGTCCCACTGTGCTGCCTGATGTGGTTGCTAACATGCCGAGACACTCACTCTGAGGTCAGAACAAACCCCCCAGCATTGGTCACCTGGCATTACAATTAAGCAAAGGTAAGTTATTTTACTCCATTATAAGGTGGGTATACCCTGGGTTCAGTGCTAAACTGGTCAGATGTCATCCAGAATTTTCCCACCAGAACCAGGTTTTGGGCCATGCATCATCCTGACTCCCCACCAAGAGGACAGGGGAGAACATTTTATTTGGCCAGTGTAGACAGCACCTGACATTTTAATCAAACTAACTCAAGTCCCATTGATTTCAGTGAACCCACTCTTGGTAGGACTACAAACCAGATTTAGCCCAATGGCAACAAATGCATTGTCGCATTGCAAATACTTACTGGCTTTCCAAAGGTGGCAGTGAAAAGGAAGTGAGATAAGCTTTTGAAGTTTGAATAAAAAATGCTTCAGGCTAAAAAACCCCCAAAAACTTTCTCTATTTTGGGGGGAAAACACACACACACACACACACACATAGGAACAGCTTAAAGCAGTGGTACTCAAACTTTTTACTCCTCAGTCCCCGCTTTACATCTACATGTGAATGTCACACGCACCCCTACTGGACATAGTATACAATTAAACATATTTTGTTTACTTGATGTGCTTATTTTCCTTTGCACATTCATGTATATTCATAGTTTAACATTTTATAAGGCAATAATATTGGTCAAAGTTGAACTGTTTTTATTTAAGTAAACACATGTGTAAATTTTACACTTAAAAAAAGTTTGGAAAGAGAAGGAGGTGGAAGAGGGATCAGGGCCTCCAAGTCTAATGTTCCTACAGGGAACAGACTCTGTACTCCTGCAGTGGGCAAATGAGAGAACCTGAGGAAGAACAGACAACCCTTGGCTTCCTATATCCTTGGTGTAGAGAGAGTACAGAGAGACTCTCCAGATGGATGCCCCAAGTAAGAATAAACAGCATAAGGAAGTTGGAGAGGGACCAGCTAATGATGACCTTTTAGCTTTGTGTCACTGTTCCTCTACATACACTACCAATATGCTTCCTGTCTGAAGTAATTTTAGTCCGTTTAAATCATGATCATGCTAAGGCTTTATGTTTTAAATTGTTGCAATTGTCAACATGTCTTTACTTGTATACAGTGGGATATAAATAGCTGCACTGAAAATTATTTTCAATTAATACAATTTTAATTCGAATTGATAAAGAAGCTAGGGGAGGCCATACTCTGAAAGTCAGAGGGCACGTTTTCCACTCCCGTGGATCCCCAGCAGGCCATGCCAGTGCACTTCTGATAACCTTCAGGTGCTTTTTTGTTTTTGCTTTCCTGTTTCACCATGGGGAGAGGAAAATATTAACAGACTAAAATGGATTTCCTAGAATCTACCATCAGATGAAAAGAGGTTTTCTGACTGCAGTTCTCCCTCAAATATTCCAGTGTCTGAGAACTGGGGGGTCTTGCTACATCAAAGGAATATACATATGTATTGACTCATGATTGAAAAATTAAAATAGGTTTATTCTAGTTGGAACTAAAATAGGATTCAGTCCCATGTGCTTGAGCACTCACCAGTAGCATATATATCACTGTTTGAGAACCACTGTTTTATGGAACATTGGGTGCATCTACACTGTAGCAATAATGAAGTCTAACACCAGTTTAAGTGCTATAGCTCCATTGTATTGAATCCTGGGGTTTGTAATTTTATAAGGTTTTTAGCCTTCGCTGCCAAAGTGTGCTGGTGCCTCACAAGGCTACAAATCCAGGATTCTGTAGGATGGAGCCATGGAAATTAATGTGGTGTAAAAATACATAATTTCCACAGTGTAGATGCATCTATGGTGATTTAATCCAAAAATAATGTTGAACAGTCAAATGGGCAAGTGCATACTTAATAAACATGTGTATGTCTGATTTGTGAGCCAGCATGGATTAGTGATTTGAATGTTGGTCTATGGCTCCAGAGACCAGGGTTCAAATCCCCATTCAGCCATGGAAACGCATAGGATGACCTTGGGCAAGGCACATTCTCTCAGCCTCAGAGGAAGGCAACGACAAACCTCCTCTGAACAATTCTTGCAAAGAAAACCCCATGATGGCTTTGCCTTAGGGCTGCCATAAGTCAGAAATGACTTGAAGACATACAACAACAGTAAGTTTTCATATGCCCAGTTTTCACAATCTCTCTCATATCTTTGTGTAAGCCCAAGCTACAATACAGGGTAAACTGAACTTTGGTTAAGTGTAACATGATGTTCCAAATAAGGCTATTCTAAGTGTGTTTCTTTTATTCAATTAAATACACATCTGCCTTGCTGTTGATGGGGAGAGAGCGGGATCATCTAGCACTAACAAAACAAATCACGAGGAAGGTATACGGTCTGCACAAGACATTTCTTGCCTGAGGCAAAGATCACCCCTCCATGTACAGAGTCTGGCTGAAATGAACAGTTATTCTGAACTAGTGATAAGCTTTTGTTTTCTATTATAGCAAAGGACAGCAAGCCTGTTTAGGGTACAGGTTGAACTGTGTCGTACAAACAGTTCTGTCCTTCCAACAGAAGGGAATGGCAGAGGGGCTCTCAGGAGGAATACCCTCGCCAGGATCTGCAACCGAGGCAATCACTTCATTCTGACAAAGACCCACGAGAAAGCCAAACCACACAACAATTTTGGATATATGAGGGTACCTTCATAGACAATTGCTAGACTAGTGGCTAAGGTCTGGTGAGCTGGGGGACCTTCCACCATATACAAAAGATACCCACATTTGTTTTGTTTTTTTGCCCAATTCCCTTGAAAAGGTAATGACCTAAATATAAATTTATCTGGTGGACCAAAGTGAAACCTTCCAGTAGCTCTCTGCCCTTTTCTTTGCTAACTGGCTGTCTTCTCCCAAATCCGCAAAACTACAGGGGGGTTTAGGAGGAAGAAGCCAGCTGCAAAGGGAAAAAGGCACCTTGCTGTGTTAACACCAGCACCACAGCCAGCAAATTCCTCTCAGGGAGATCAGAGGCTGCCCCACTTGTTGTCTTCTGTACAGGATGCTTCTCTTCTCAGGCACTGTTGAGTTACAGTTAATCTCAAATAATTTAAGGTTCCAGTAATATCATCATACTGTCTTCATAAAACAATGAACTGCTGACACATGTTCAGTGGTAGTAATTTACAGATCCTTTTAAAAAAAGTGCTGCTGGTTGACTGTCACACGTTTGTTGTGTTGACATCTTGTATTTCTCTCTTCTATGTCACTTTATTCCAAGGTAATTTCTATCTTCTTACATTTTTGCACTTCCTCCTGGGATGTTTGGTTTGTTTTTTGTGTGTGTGTGTGTGGTGGGTGGGTAAAGGACAGTAGGTTATTGATTTCAGTCTCTCATATCCTTTTCGTAATCAGTATGACAGAAATGGATTTTCACAAAAATGACACCCTAGTTGACTAAACTCAGTAAATACAAGGCAAAGATTCAAGATATATACTGGTAGTTTAAAAGTTTGCCAACTTCATTTTAAGTTCTCAACTTGATACCATGTCTCTCTTCATTCCTAAACATTGCCAAAGTTTATTTGTGATTTGTTGTTGTTGTTAACTGCCTTTGCATCGATCTCGACCCACGCCATATGGATGAGACATCTCCAGCTCCCCCTGTCCTCTACTGCTCTGCCCAGCTCCTGCAAATTCATATTCGTGGTCTCTTTAAGTAAAATCTATCCATCTAGCATGGATAGATTTTACTTAAAGAGACCTTTCCTAACATTATTGTCTTTTCCAACAATTCATGCCTTCTCATGATGTGTTCAAAGTACAACAGTCTAAGCTTTGTCATCTTGGCTTCTAGGGATGTCTATGGCTTGATCTGTTCTAGGGCCCACTTGTTTGTCCTTTTGGCTGTCCATGGGATCCTCGGCACTCTTCTCCAGCACCACATTATTTCAAATGTGTTGATTTTCCTCTTTTCTTCCTTTCTTGACTGTCCGGCTCTCACATCCATACATGGTAATAGGGAATACAATGGCTTGTATGATTCTGACTTTTGTGCTGAGTTGTATGTCTTTGCATTTTAGGATCTTTTCTAGTTCTTTCATATAGCCGCCCTCCCCATTCTTTTTTTAAAAATTTATTTATTATAATTAAAAAACACACACAAATATAACACAGCATACAACAAAACAATACAAGACCAAAAAAAAACTTCCTTGTCTTCCATGTCTTGCTACCTCGCCCATATTTAATTCACTTCGTATACACTTAATCTATTGTGTCATCATACTTATTTCACTACATCTCCACTGAACCTATAAAATACTACTCATTATACTCTTATTCTATAAATTCTCTTTATATCAGAGTTCTCTACATTAATCTAATCCTAGTACAAACTTTGATCCCCATTCTTGCCTCCAGAAATGTGATAAATTTCTTGCATATCCTTCTGTGACTAAACTCAATAAATACAAGGCAAAGATTCAAGATATCTAGTTTAAAAGTTTGCCAAAAGTTTCATTTTAACTTTTATCTTGAACATGTATCCAGGTTAAGTGAGTGCATGAAGGTGAGGGTACTACCATTATACCTCAACAAAATGCATATTAAACAGTTGAGAGAAAATGCAGCTTTCCTTTAAAATAGTGTTATTTTCATAGGCAACTAAAAATGTCACAGAACTACAAATCCCAAAATTCCCAGGCATTGAGCCCGTAACAGTTAAAGCAGTGTCAAACTGCATTAATTCTGTAGAGCAGATGCAGCCTAAGAGAAAGTCTAGAGGACATGGTCATCAGGGTGGAGGTGGAAAGGAAGGAAGGGTGAGTCTCCATGCGACCACAGATGGTTGGGAACTTCTGGTGTCATATGGTCTGGGTACATGGAAACATTGATTATTGATGACCATGCACAACAAACTATGGGGGGTTGCAGACTGCCAGAAATAGTGCAAATTGAGTCCACTTTTAGGGTTAGGGTTAGTGCTAGGGAATCATGGGAATTGTGTTTTTTTCTGAGACATTGAGCCTTCTCTGTCAGAGAGCTCTGGTGCCATAATAAAATACAGTTCCCATGATTCCCTAACTCTAACCCTAACCCTAAAAGTGGACTCAATTTGCACTATTTCTGGTAGTCTGCAACCCCCCTGTGTTGAGCACATGGGGAAAGCTTGAGAGACAGTGTGGAACAGAATGGAGGCATGCAGGAAAGCCTTATGCAATGGGTCCTTGTTATCCACTGCAGCTCATTCCCAGGACCCTCCCGTGGATAACAAAATCCATGGGTGCACAAGTGCCATTAAATACAATGGCATAGTAAAATAGTTTCCCTTATATAAAATGGCAAAATCAAGGTTTGTTATTTGGAATTTATACTTTAGAAGTATTTTCAAGTCATGGATGCTTGAACCCGTGCAGAAAAAATCTGTGGATGAGAAGGGCTGACTGTACTATCTAAAGTTCCCATTAATAGCAAAAAAGGGAGAGGGTGTGAAGAGAATGTTTCATTGAGTAGTATTTTCCAATAATTATTGCTCTCTAGCTGTGCGAATTTAGGATTATTCTTAAATAAGTCCCTCTGATTTCAGTAGAGCTTACTACTTAGTAACAGTGTTTAGTAAGAGTAGTTGCTAAGAACCCAGTGGGATTTGCTTCTGAGTAAATGTGGATTTGGTTGCCCTGACGGTATACTAGGCACTCAGAATACATTCATTTATTCTAAGTGTTTGGGTTTTTTTACCCTGTCCTTCAAAAGGAATTACTGGGGTAGTTTTACATTGGAAAATTAAAAATGGAAAAACAACAAAAACAAATAATACACTATCCCAAAATTTTGAAATAACAAAGTTATAATCAGGGAGCATAAAATCATCAGCTGACTTAAAAATAAACCAGCATAAAGACCTGGGAAAAACAGATGTCTTTGCTTGGCAGCAATGTGTTCTCTAAGCAGGTGCAAGATGAGTCTCCCTGTGGAGAGAATATCACAGTCAGAGTATCATCATCAAAAAGTCCTTTTACCTGGTAGTCACCGGTTGCATTCCAGATAGTGGGAGTACCTAAGAAAGACATCTACTTAAATACAGATGCAGACAGGTGTCCTTGGGGCTAAAGACAGAATATGAACCACTATTGCTGACACTGAATGGCAGTGGTGTAATGGCAAAACACATCAAAATCAGGTAAAAAAACAAAAGGTTCAGGCAGTGTAAGCTTCATTTTAGAGTACAAATATAACTCGATTAATGAAATAGACGTGTACCTGCACATTCTTTGGTACATGTGGAGGTAGACATAACATGGACAGAATACAGGCTGAATTCTGTTAGCCTGTTACAAATGTGTTACATAGAGTTACATAGAAGATTATCACATGAGGGACAGGATGTCATTGTCCAGTCCCTGTCCTTCCCGTACGATCACATGGAAATTATCACACGACATTGTCATTATCGTGTCCGTGACACATTCTTATTGTAAAATCACTTTAAGATTTTTCAGACGACGTCGTGCTTATCCTATCCTTCTCCCTTCCCTGAAGTGGCACAGTCCTGTCAGTTTGTATTAATGGCAACTCACATTAGTACAATGATGGGGCCACTGATGGGAGAAGAACTGGATAAGCACAGACACAATAAGGATGGGGTAAGGATGGAAGCAATCCCTCCTTACCCCATGTGATAATCTCCACAGTCATGACTCTTTCAAATTCATGATCCCTATGCAACCCCTGCTTTAGGGTCTAGGTAGTGACTGTGGAAGTCCCCCAGTTTCCACTTACCAGACAGCAGCTACTGCGATTAATAGGGATTTATTCCCCTGTCGAATGGGAAGCAGCTGACTGATGGTCCCACCTGCCCTGCATGCAGACAATCTCTGGCATGCAGGGGAATTGTGACAGAGGTCTTGCTTCTGCCTGTTAAACTAGAGATCACTCACAGGAGAGATGGGGACTGTCAGCTACTGGGATGAGAGTTGTTGCATAGCACTATAACTACGGGTGCCTACACATTCATAACTCCCCAATAGGATTCCAGGCCCCAATAGGTTCCTACCACAAAAAGATGATCAGGTTGACATATTTCAGCAAATATTTTATTCAAGACAAACAGTATGTCCATATAAAATAAGACAACCAGCTCAAGTAAATGTTGCATAAACAAAGACATTTTAAACCTTCTATAGACCACTTGAAGACTTTTTCCAAAATGCATCTAGGATGTCTTTTCTCCCTCACCAGCCTCCACTTTCTTATGATTTCCATTTTAGTTGCTAGACATATATATTTTAACATGCTGGTGGAAGCTGGTGGGATGGGTTTATCTGTTCTCCCCTTCTGGTACAGCTGCTCTTGTACCTTTCCTGTTGTAGGCAGGCACACATGGCTTCAGTAGAATCAGCTACAGTAGAATTCCTCTCATTTCCAGATCAGGCTTTGTTTATTGCATTATTTACTGCAGATACACTGATATGTGACATCTATGTATCTTTATCTCTCCTTCATCCTTCTCTCAATATCTATTCTGATTTATGTTTTTTTAAAAAAAATCTTCCAGCCTGATAGAGGGCATGGAGGGAAAGAGGGATGAGGTGGGTATGAAAAGCATGAGTAAAAAGGAGTAGTAGTGTGGCTTTGCTGGCAAAGGTTCATTAACTGAGGTACACTGTAGAATTGTGTTCTTCAAAGTATCCAGGAAGTGGAAAACAGATGCCCACTCTTTGTGTGCCTAATTTCAGTATCTAAATGTGGGCTTTCATAATTCACATATGGTTTTTTTCTGCTTCTATGTGGCATTCACCATCAAACTGTGGTGCTACACAACCATGTCAGTGAGGAGTGTCTAGTCTGATCTGGGATGAGGGAATATTGGCCTTCAGAGCCACTAAAGTTGCCCCCCTGATGTTTAAAATCAAAACCTACTATTTTGAATAGAGCTTGTATTCTTGGTGAAGCCCTGACTTAGTATGACTGTACTTTATTTTTATACTGCAGACACTCATAAGAGTAATGAGTTTATGTCTTCTTCTTCTTATTTTACAGAGCAAACTAGTGACAGCAGGAGAAAAGATATAATCATACTCACACCCAGTGTATTCATAGCAATGGAGTTATTTAGACCAAATTTTCAATCCAGTATATTATTTGCTGAACCCTATGTACATAAACTGATTTCCCCCCTCATTCTAGCTAGTATTAAATATAATTTTTCCCTTGAGTATGCTTAAGTTACTCATTATTTTAGTAATTTTTTTACAACTCTCTTGATGTATTTTTTTTTTATCTTTCCCTTTTCTCCTTTCTCCCAGATAAAAACAAGAAGTATATAGAGTCACTAATGAGGCCATGGATTATCTTGATAATGGAAAGTGTAGTTCACTAACAATCAAGGTGTAATGCTTAAAAGCATATTAAAAACACATTATGAGAGTCTTTTGGAAGGAAACAGCAATAATAGCTGCTCTGCCCTTGCACATTGGAAATTACTGTTACTTTCTAAAATACCCTCATAGCATACTAATACAGCACTTTCTCTTTCACCTGTAGGCAAAATATATGTAGTTAATGGAAGATTTGTTTAACCTAGAATGCAGTTTTATATAGAATTTCAGAAATATAAGAGAAACTTTAGGGGAACATGGGGAAATTGAGGATGGTGCAGTGGTACCCTCAGGAGAAGACTTTAAGACAAAAATCTCATTCAACAGAAGTAACTTATGGTGAGTCTGTTGTTGTTAACTGCCTTCGCAGTGGTCTCGACCTATGGCGACCCTATGGATGAGACATCTCCAGATCCCCCGTCCTCTACTGCTCTGCCCATTTCCTGTAAACTCATGTTTGTGGTCTCTTTAATGAAGTCCATCCATCTAGCATGTGGCCTTGCTCTCTTTCTACTTCCCTCCACCTTTCCTAGCATTATTGTCTTTTCCAGTGATTCATGGTGACTCTATCAAGGGCTTTTCTGGACAAGATTTGTTCAGAAAAGGTTTGCCATTGTTTTCATTTAAGGCTGGAGGACTGTAGCTCGCCCACAGTCACCCAATGGATTTCATTGGTGGAGCAGGGATTTGAACCCTGGTCTCCCAGAGACCTAATCCAATGCTCAAACCACTACACTACACTAGCCCACCTTAAAACAATTAAAAACATTCCAGCAAAAATAATACCGTATCCTCTTAAAAGCCCTCTCTTTAAAAACCTTGTTTCAAAAGCCGGTTGGAATGTCAAAGTGTTTTCTTTAGAAAGTTAAGTTTTGCAGATTCAAATACAATACAGTGGAACTTGAATAATTCAAACCCCAAGGGACCAGTAAAAAAATTCGAATTATCCAAAAAACGGGATACTGTATTGCAAAATTTAAATACAGTACACATATGTTTTTACTCAAAGAGATTATAATGAAAGTGACAAGCTGTATATAAATCAATATGTTATAACTATAGTAAGGAATTCAGAGCTTATACATAAATGCTTCATATTCTTTTGAATATACAGTACAGTATTAACTACACTAATAAATCAGAAAGTATAGATATGTTTTACATTTTCAGTGTGTTTCAAAAAAGTCCAAAATTGTCGCTTGTTTTCTGTTGTTAAGTCTCTCAGTTTTAACAAAAGAGTCAACTGCATTTAGAGACGTAAAAATATAATCACTCACATTGTTTTTGCTTTCTAAAAAACGCCTAAGCTGCTGAATATGTTTCGCTGCTTCGGTAGCACTAATAATAGGTATTTCTTCCGAAACTGATGCCTCAGTTTCAGATTTTTTTCTTTGTCCCCTTTTCTACCTCTTTTATGGCCGCAGTTTTCTCAGCCAAAGTCAAAGTCTTGTATGTCCACTTTGATGACGACATGGTCAATCACCTCTCCTTCCTCCTCCTCCTGTCGTTGGGGGGGTTGCCTTGGAAAAACTTGGAATTATCCAATATAATTTGAATTAACCATAACTTTTTAACATTGTTTTAATACTGTATTTTAATAATTGTTCTTAATTTGTTTGTTGATTTGTTTTGGGGGTAGGGGGTAGGAATGAGGGATGGGATCTTAATGTTGCTATTTGTTTGATGTTCGGGGAGGAGGGAAGGATATTGTTTAATTTGCTGTAATGTATTATTGTATTATTGTTGTTTAATTTGTTGTAATGTATTAAGGTATTCTGTTGTTCACCACCTAGATTGGTTAGCCAGAGGGGCGGTATATAAATAAATAAACCATATTACGAGATTCTAGGGACCAGGGAAAATATTCGAATTAAAGAAGATTTTGAATTATAGAAGTTTGAATTATCCCTGTTCCACTGTAACAGGTTTTTCACCCACTCCTAGGGTGACTATTTTGTGAATAAAAATAACACCTACAGAAATACATTGCTGCTTGTAAAGGTTATCATTCTTTATGTTTCACGGAATTAGTATGTGTGTTGGGGGGTGGTGGGTTATTTATTATTTTCTCCCAGTATTGCACAACACAATAGCAACGTCCTAGTTAAGGGCAAAATGAATTCCAGACTAAAAGAATTCTTGGTATTCTCCAGTGAGGCACCTGTTCTCAAATATCAATTGGTTGAGGATTGCCAACCTCATTATCTTTCCTAAAGATGTTACTTTTTCACACTCCTACTGTTAGTGTAGAATTTGGAATATCCTACATTGAGATCCTCCATCCTATGAGCATTTTCTTACCATTTCCCAATATTGTGTTTTATGTTGTTAACAGAAAAAGAGGAATTGTTCCAGAATTTACTGGTACAGGTGGCCGAGCAGTTGTCAAGGTAAAATCTTTATACAGTACCTTTAGAAATGTTATATTCCCCCCAACCCATACATCCATGCAGTGTAGTCCTCAAACATCCTACTCTGGAATAAACCCATTAGCATTTGTTCCAATGTTCTGCATATTGAATCTGACATGTCTGAGCATGTAAAAGTCTGTGCAGATTCGTCAAGAGGGAAAAGATGAATTAATTTAAAACGATAATTTTCTGCACTCCTGCTTGAAACCAAAAGCCACACCAAAAGCCAGCGGGGATTTTGGGATGAGTACCTAAGATTACACTGCATTTGTTTTTTCAACTTTTAACTGGGGAAAAATCCAGGATGAATCTGTGCTAAGAGAATCTGTATTTTCTCTGAGAGATGCAGAATATCATTTTTTTTCTGATATAACCAATATTAGAGTTCAACCTCTTAGCTGCTCTATAAGCCACCTATTTTAAAATAACAGAAGAATACTTATAGCAGCCTTTTTCAACCTGAAACCATTCAGACTGCACAATTATGGCACTATTATTCCATTTTAAGTATCAGGGTTGTATTCTATAGACTCCTGGGATATGTAGTTTTGTGAGGCCTTGGGGCACTCTGGCTAAGGATTCTAAATGCCCCATCTTAAATTGCCAATCCCAAGATTTCATAGGACAGAGCTCTGACAGTCAAAGTGGAATAACAGAGTGATGATTTCTGTAGTGTGAATGAGTCCCTGATGCCCTCAAGATATTGTGAACTTCAAATCCCATCATCACTAGCCTGAAAGACTTATGGTCATGGATAATGGAGGTTGTAGTCTAAATATGTGGTGTATGTCAGCGTGAAAGGCAGTCTTAAAATAATTGATCAGTTTAGCTGGGATTTATTTTTTATTTATTTAGAGTAGTTATGACCTGCCCTTCATCCCAAAAGGCTCCCAAAATGGCTTACAAATTGACAGTTTCCTGCCCTCAAGCTTGCAATCTAAATAAGACAGGAAACATAAGGAAAAGGGAATAGTAGTGAAAGAGAGGAATCAAGACCGGATGCTTATGCTTAGGGAGAAAACATTAAATAGCACTTCCAGAACTGCAGAGATGTATGCCCCAGTTCAGAGCCTCGTGTGAAATTCAACATATATAGTGCTCCTAACATACATGCTGACTGCCTCACTTATTTATATGCACTCAAGAAAAGTTTGCACTCCATTAAATGGGCAAAAGTCTATTCCACTGAAAGGAGTGGGGAGTGGGTGAAAGTGAGGAAGGTCTGTTGTTTGTACATTGAAATCCTTATGGCTGTCACAGGCCATTGGATTAGAGACAATAGAGTATTAGTGGAGCGTCTTCACTTATTAAAGATCTATTTATTGAAATACGTTGTATGTGAGTGTATATGTGTGTATAGTCATATATAAAGTATATCATTAAATGCAACAAAATACTGCCTTTTTATGTTAATTTCACTCACTAATAGAAGTTACGTTTTGCATCAAATTGCTCAATTTATGCTGCTAAAACTATGTGAGTTGTATTCCTATTTAAGGTTTTTTTCCCCCTCCAGGGTATTTAAAATTGATGAACTCAAAACTGAAGTAACTAACCACTTGGCAATGCTGGAGAAAAAAGTTGAATGTGAGTGTCTTTTGTAAAGAAATGAAATCTAGAATTGTTTTGTATCCATCTGAGAAGATCTATCATTTTCAGGGTCTTCTTCCACCTTCCACTTTTGTGAGGTATGAAACAAAGGGAGGACAAATACAGATCTTTGTTGCTTTTTAACTCATCACTTTTTTTAAAAAAATTAAAAAGTGATTTGTTGATGTTAAGTTTTGTGTATTTGTTCTTATGTAGTATAATATATTATGTAACCCACTAAATCGATAGAGTGCTTCCAAATTCTCCCAAATCACTTGAAGATGTCCCCTCAGTGATGTTTTAAAACAATTATTATTCATTGCAGCAAGAGATTAATGATGTTCCAGTTCATGACATTACATGTTAAAAGTAACACATTAGGCCCTTGTTAACAAAGAAAGTACAAAATTACAGATAAAATCGTTACTTGTTAGCCTGTAATAGTATTATGCAGCTCTAAAGAAAATAATTTAAAATATAGTGCTGCTTTTGAAAATGAAATTCTAATTTTGCATGTTACATTTTCTGATTAGAATTAATATTTGAGGGAGGGATCATTTTCATGAATTGCATAGTTTATAAATAAATCCATTCCATGGACTGAAGGCTGAAGAGCTGCAGTTGGAGGATGTTGTATCACAAGATATGATGGTTTGTGTGGAACAGGTGTTCCCATATTGTTCAGGAAGGGAGCCTTATTTATTAATCACATTTGTTCCCTACTTTTGCTCCAGAGATATCAGGGCAGCAAATATGAAGATTTCTCTGTTTTATTCTTACATTACCCTAGTTCCTCTTCACAATCTATGCCAGTTCCCTGCAACTTAATCTTATGGGGTTTTGTAGGTTTCTCTGAAAGCACATGATGATAAGTTCAAATAGGCACTTGCCACCATAGTAACTATTGCAAACATAGCCCAAGCAGTTTGTGATCAGGTTACCTGAAGAACCCCAAGCTTTATGATCTTTTTCAGAAGCTTTACTCTGACCGCCTTTGCCAAATGAAGGGAAAGGTCAGAAAGGGAAACAGGCTTTTTGGTAGTGACACCCCATTTCCCAAAGCCATTGGTGTGGTCTTTAAGTGCTAGGTGAGAGCCCTTGGTTCACTTAACCCTGTAAGTAATTCACATAGGATTGACATCTCATGCTTAAAATACGTGTGTTTATGAGCTTTGGGCAAATGTGTTGGGAAGTTGTAGTATTTGTTGCTATAGCTCTTGGTTGTTGTTTTTTAATTAAAGGACATTTCTGTTGCCCTGGACTATTTCCCAGAACCAGCCACAACATTTTATTCCCACCCTCAAATGGTCTTTTAAACTTCAAGACAAATCATAGCAAAAAAGTATCCTTTGTCCTTTATCTTTTGGGGGAATTATTTTATAGTTATAGTGCATCAGTGGACCAGTGAACTAGCACCCTTGAGTATAACTTTGAAAAAAAGGTTTTGAAAAACAGAGAGGAAAATGTGTTCTGTGAATATTTGGCCCACCTTTGGAAAAGCCCTAGTGCAGATTGAAGAAATTGTTTCAAACATACCCTCAAAAAGAATGGATGAATCAAGATGGAGGTGGCAAGAACTGCTAAATCCCAGCAAAAATCCAAGGAGCTAGCAAAACCCAAATGATAAGTTATACTTATTTATACCACTAAGGTATTTTAAACCAAGCAGAGGCCTCAAATATAAATAGATAAACAAAGCAGTAGTGCACTGTTGTGTAGTGGCTTGAGCATTCAGGGTTCGATT